CGAAAGGAAGGCTTCCTGAGGAAATCAGTCTCAGGTAGGTCCCGCACGTTCACGCGATTGGGACCAGGGTCAGACGCGATCGCGCGACTTTCCTCCTCCCCCCGTCCTCCTCCTCCTCAGACACATCCTTATCACCTTCCTTCTCTTCATCATCGCCCTCCTGCCCATCCTGGCTACTCCACCATCATCCTCATCATCATACTCCCTCCTCCTCTAACCGCGTCCTCCTCATCCTCCTGTCCCATCCCCTCTCCTCATCCACCTCTTCCCCTCCTCCAGCACCTACCTCGAGCGCATTTCCTCATTTGCGGCAATAACGGACATTATGGGGGGGGACGAGGGGGCATAACGCAACACATCCCCCAGCCGTGCGGTTCCGGCGCCACCACAGCGTCCGCGCGTACGACGACGACCACGAGGACGACGACAACGACGACGACGGCGGCGACGACGACGACGAGCGACCACGAGGACGACGACAACGACGACGACGACGAGCGACGACGGCGACGACGACGACAACGGCGACGACGACGAGCGACGCCTCCAAAGGTCTCCAGAAGTTTCCCGAGGCCTCTGGAGACCTCCTGAGGCCTCTGGAAGCATCTGGAGACCTCCTGGAGTTCATCCGAAGGCCTCCAGAGGCCCTTGAAAGCATTCGAAGGCGTTTGACAACGACGAGCGAACGCGAGCCAAGACGACCGGCGACAACGACGACGACGACGACGAAGATGATGACGACAACGACGACGACGACGACAACGACGACGACAACGACGAAGAGCAACGACGACGATGACGAACGACGACAACAGTAACGACGAGCGACGACAACGACGACGACGACCGACAACGAAGAGCGACGAGGAGTTGTGGCGAGCACATGCCTGCGAAGGAGTCGTTGCCTCCATGTGGCGGATAAGTGGTATGCTCCTTACCTCCCTCCTCCATCCTCGTCGTCGTTGTCATCATCGTCGTTGTCGTCGTTGTCGTCGACGTCCTTCTCCCTTTACTTCAGAGCACCAGAACTTGCCCGCGACCGCCGCCCCTATGCGGATCTCTAGCCGGATCCCTGTGAGGACCCCGGAAATCCCTGTGCGAATCCCTATGCGGATCCCCATGCAGATCCCCATGCGGATCCCGATGCGGATCCCTATGCGGATGCCTCGGGGGATCCCTATGCGGATCCCCACGCGGATCCCTATGATCCCTATGCGTGCAGATCCCTATGCGGATCTCCATAAGGACCCCTGGGAATCCCAATGCAGATCCCTATGCGGATCCCGGTGGATATCTCTATGCGATCCCCATGCAGATGCCTATGCGGATCCCTCTTCAGGTTCCTATGCGGATCCCTGTGCGCATGGCGGCAGTGCCGGGGGCGCACTGGGGACCGGAGCGTTGCGATATTGGGGGGGGCGGGAGGGCCATGACGCGCGTGATGGCCCAAGCAATGCAGAAACAGGCTCCTCTCCCTCCCCTTCCTCTTCCACTCCCCTCCTCCACCTTCTCCGAGCCAAGGGAGGCCGCGTCCCGACACTTTGTAGATCCTGGCCAGCTGCGTCTCCGCGGTTGCGTCCACTCGGGGCCGCTGACTTCATCTTTGGGGTGGTCGCCCCCGACGCTCCGGTCCCCTCTTCCCGCCCCCTTGCCATCCTCCTGCCGCCCCTCCTGCCACTCCTCCTGCTCCTGCCACTCCTCTTGCTCATGCCACTCCTCCTGGCCTGCCAATGCTCCTCCTCCTCCTCCTCCTCCTCCTCCTCCTCCTTCTCCTCTTCCTCTTCCTCCACTTCCTGCGTCGATCCAGTTTCTGTTCCTGTTCCTCCTCCTCCTCCTTCTCCTCCTTCCTCGTCCTCCTCATGCTCTTCCTCCTTCTCTTCCTCATCATCATCATCGTCACCAAAATCGTTATCATCATAAGTATCACCATCAGCATCAGCATCATCATCACCACCATCAGTAACCTCATCCTAAGCATCATCCTTGTCCTCCGCCTCCATCGACCCCTCCCATCCCCGCCATATCCCCTCCTCATTATCCTAATCCTCCTCATCAGCATTATCAGCCTCCTCCAATTCGTTAGTGTCAGCTTGTGATTAACAAATCCGTGGGGGGCGCGTGTAAAAAAATGGTTCCCCTGCTGGGGTAAATCGCGGGCTGGCGCCCGCCAGATTGAAAATCAACGGGGCGGCGCCGGTGATTAGCGCCGACGCCTGGCCGCCAACGAGGGCAGGGGGGGGGGGTTATTTGGAGGCAAGGGCGAGCCAGGGCGCCCCTCTTTCTGTCGAACCGATGCGGGCCTGCGGGCCTGCGGGCAAGGCGGGCTGGACGAAAGTGGGGCGCAGCAAAGGGGGATTTGCCAAGCAGCTCACGTCGCCGATTTTCCAAGCGCCTCCTGGCGCCGAAAGCGGCCATGCGTCGAGAATTGGCCCTTCGGCGGGGCGACCGAAACCAGCTGCGCGCAGCAGGCTTTGCAATCCCCCCTTCCTCCTCCTCCTCCTCCTCCTCCTCCTCCTCCTCCTCCTCCTCCTCCTGATCCTGCTCCTCCTCCATCTCCTCCTCCTCTTCCTCGTCTTCCTCCTTCTCCTCCTTCTCCCCCCTCCCCCTCCTCTCTCCTCCTTCCCCCTGGCGCGCGTGGTTACAAAAAATATCGCGCCCCGCGGGGTCTATTCATCAGCCCGGGAGGTGGGAGGGGTGGTGGTCTTTTGTTAATCACAGGCTGACATTACCATCCTACTCCTCCCCGCGATCGTCCTCCTCCTGATCATCCTCCTCATCAGATTCAGCGTCCTCGCCATCGTCATCACAATCACCAACAACAATCGCACCCTTCCCTCCTCCTTCCCATCATCCTTGCCCTCGCCCTCCATCCTGTTCCCCTCCCTTCTCCTCCTCCTCCTCCTCATCACCATCATCTTTCCCGTTCGTCCCATCACTTCAACCTCAACCAGTTCTACGCGAAGAGCAGCGAAACATAGTCAATCCCTGGTGAACCTGGCAACCTCCAATCTTACAAACATCAACATGAACATACGTGCTGTCCGACGTGCGATGCTTCGTGGCGGATCCGAACCGATTGTCGGTATGGTATGAAAGAGATCTCCGAAAATGCACAACTGTCTTAGACATACGAGTAAACGTACTTCCACATTCTTAGGCAGAGCCGCTCGCATGCTTAGTCACTTGCACGGCTACCAGTTACCAAGTCTTCTACTTTGCCGAGCCGAGCGAAACTCACAACTGACGCCTGATGCTACCCTTCGGACGGGTGGGCGCAAGCCCTCGACTGCTCTCCCAGTTCCAACATAGCCGAATAGTAGTTCTGTCGATCACACTTTGCTTGCGGTATTGTCGAAACTCTTGCTAATTACAAGGGCTCTTCATGCACATCGCAAACAGGCTCACCGATCTGTCCTCAATTTACCATGTTCTTGCCTGCTAATGTACGGCGATCTTCGCCTGAGAAGAACAGTCGATGCACAGGTCTGGACCTTCGAGCTAGCAAGAACAAGAACATTAGCCGACCATGAACACTTGCGCTCCTGCAGCGAAGCCCGCCTGTCCCTTAAATTTCTGCGCCACCTTCCCAAACTCCGGCGCGAACTTCTTGCAGTGGCTGCACCATGGGGCATAAAACTCGACCAGGAATCGCCTGGCAAGTGTTTGTGGAATGTTGCGCGTACATTAAGCGACATCAGAATGGCATAATCTGGCCGACTGCCACGGAACAAGTGCCCCAAACTCTTGTTCCCCAAAGACAAGAAAATGCCGCTCTGCCCTCACCGCCATTACAATCGGTTTCGCCGTCGCAAATTCGCCGAGCACCATCGATCACTTTTCCCGACACCATCGCCAATCTGCAAGCCTGGATTTTGGGACGATCGCTGACCATCTCTCGCCCGTCTTCGGCTTTCGCCTCGAACGAGGTGTCGGAGATGATGGCCCCAAGGCTCGCTTCCAAACCGCCTGCGGGTTCCATCTCGTGCGGTGCGCGCACCGCTTCGGGTGATGACGTGCGTTCACAGTAATTTCAGCCTTCGGGCCGAAGTCCCCGTTGTAGAATATGGCCCTGGCTCGACTGGGCAACCAAGTTCCTGTCGAAAATACCTTGGTTTGAATCCAGCCGAGGCGACGAAGGCACCCTAAGGAGGAAAGTTAAACAAAAGACGATAGCAATGAAGAGAACCCGACGACGACGACAGGGAGGCGCCGTCGCGCCCGATGTTGCCTGCCAACGCTGAGCCCAGATATGCTCAGCGGCGTTGAACTCTCTCTCTCTCTCTCTGTCTCACTTTGTTTTGTTCTCTCTCTCTCTCTCTCCCTTTCTCTTTCTGTCGCAGCAGCATAGGCCGTAGAGAAGACAAGAGGACGGAGCGAGGAAGGCCTGGGCGGACCCGCGAACCCCCGAAAACTAAACGGAGTGCCGGCCAAAAAGAATCGTGTGCCATCTGAGTGCCTTGACGTCTTGCGTGCACCTCTCATACGGGAATAATGAATGCCAGGGGTGACACCAGCACGGTCGACCTCGCAGCGCTGGCAGCGGGCACCCACATCTTCACGGCAAACGACATCGAGACTGCCATGGGCTGGGCCCGTGGCGGCGGAAGGCCGATCTGGCTGGTTGCAAGGGACGGACAATCGGCTCGAAGTGTCGCCACAGCGCGACCAAGACCACGGCAATGACTCAATGACCGCTGCCACCATTTGGCGGCATTCCGAGGGGGGAGTGAGAGGGGGAAGGCCTTCTCTTAAGGCGGCGGGGCACCTTAGAAATCCACGGCCTTCTGAGAGGCAGTCTGTGGCTTCGGAGAAGGCTCAGAGAGCGTCCCAGAAGGCCAGATGCCGTCTGAGCCGTCTGAGAAGGCCCACCCATCGTGCCTTTCCCCCTGGTCGCGCCGCCGAAGCATCGTCATCACCACCACCAGCACAACGGCTTTCGTCATTGATGCCATCGTCCGAACCCCCACCGGGTGCTGCTCTCCCCGAAACGTCAATGTTTCCTCCAATTCCTCCGTCGGCCATCGCCCTACAGGTGGCCGGGGAATGTGATGAGGAGAAGAAAACGGAGGTCCCCAACAGCAGGCAGCGTCCGACGGATCAGCGGGCAGCGCCAGCGTCACACCAGCGGGCAGCGTCAGCGTCAGACGAAGGTCCCGTCCGCTAGCCTGTTCTCGGCGGCGAACTGCTGGAACGAGTCCTTGGTAAGCTTGGAGACCAAGGCGTTGTCCAGGGAGACCGGGGGGGCCGGGGCGTTGTCCCGGCGTTCGTCCTCGAGGCGGCACGCGCCCGGCACGTCGCTCAGAGACCGACCAGAGGACCTGCTCGGCTGAGCAGCTGAAGCCATTCCCTAGGGTGCTGACGTCAGGAGCGACAGGCTCAGGGGGGACGGCGTCAAGCCGATAGATCGGCGTTAGCCCCCCAGATAAAGGATCAGCACGGTCCTGGGCGGGGCGGGCGATCGGGCCCCTATCGGCGATGAGCGTGCGATTGGGGGTCGATGCGTCCCTGCGTCCCCCCGTGAGTTCATCCCCTCCTCGCGTTGCCCCTGAAGGCCACCCAGCTTCCTGCGTCGCGCCCCCCGCTGCGCGACGCGCGGCCATCTCCGCGCCCTCACGCCGCCGCCCTGGAGGAGGGCGCCTCTGCGGCCCAGGCCGCCAGGCGCGAAGTGCGATCATCTCCGTGCCCCTGGGAGCCTGCCGTCGAGCGGTGGGCTCTGAGCGCTGACCCCCTCTTCTGCGACTGCCGCCCGAGCCCCCCTGCTGCCGCATTCTCGGGCGGTCTGCGGTCTGAGAGAGGGGGGGGGATGTCGCATGGAATGTCGCTGCGCGGCGCCAAAAGGGCGCGTCATGCGGAGCGTGCCCGCGCGGCTCTCCCGGATGTTGAAAACGGAAGCGCCGACGGAAAGTCTTTCTTGCACGGGCAGCTCGCGGAGTGTCCAGAGAACGGGGAACCTCGAGAAAACTCTTGGATGAATCCTGGGCCTCCGAACAAGCCCTCTAACCGGACGTCTCCGAAATCAGGCTGGAGAAGATGCAGTAGGAGCTCGACCACAAGAAACCTTCCACCAGAAACCCAACACTGAGACACCAGGACGCCCATGATTTCTGGCGTGGGAACGTCACGCTCTCCACGGCAAAAAATCGTTTAGAGACACTCGTCAAAATCACTTTATGTGAGAGAGGGGACGGCGGAAGGTGGCACCAGCAAAATCGTATCATATATTTTCCTCGAGAATAAGGCCCCGTGTATGATGCTGAGGCGTCTGCCATGCGCTGGTGGGTGGACCTTCGGGCCTGCCGCGACGCGCGAACTGGCCCCGCTAGCCCAAGTCCCCATGACCAATCGTCAAGGCGAAAGCGGGAAAGGAGGGAGGTGGAGTTTGAGACGGGAACGCACACATGAAACGAGATACACTCGGAACGGCACCACCTTCATCCACAGACACCCCCGCCCCCCGGCGAACACCCCTCGCCCCGCCCACTTATGGAGGCGGGGGGAAGGTGGTGAAACACGGACAACGCGCATGTAGAGGCACCCGTCAAAATCACTTTACGTAAAAGAGTGGGCGGCGGAAGATGGCGCCAGCTAAATCATAACAAACATGTTCCTCGAGCGCGAGGCCTCATGCATGATGCTGAGGCGAATGTCACGCGCTGGTGGGTGGACCTTCGGGCCTGCCGCGACGCGCGAGCTGGCCCCGCTAGCCCGCGCTACCGCATCACCAGCGTCTGGCCGCGACGTGCCGGGCTGGGCGGGAGGACGCACAGACACGGCCGCAACTGATAATTAATTGAGAACTGAACTGAAGCGAACCGTTCATTGGCCAAAACACTCATCACTCTCGTGCCTGCCCAGAGCGCCGACTGGCGCGGAGCGGATCTGCGCCTTTCCCGAGGACGTCTGCCGACACGACTTGTCTTGCTGCAACCAAGGCGCGGGCCTTCATATATCCCATCAGACTTTTCCCCGATGTCCACCGACCTCTCCGCTGCATCTGCCATGCCGTCCTGTAGCCAACTGCCGCGTCGTGGCTCGGCCAAGAGCGGCGGGCCGAGTGAGCTGGAAACGCCGCCACTCCCAAATCAGCGCAAGCTTGGCGTAGGCCACGTCAGCAGCGGTCAGCCGTCATGCTGAAGAGTAGTTCGTCCTGCTTTTTCTTGAACCTCGCCGTCGCAATGCCATCTGGGCCGCGTGCTCACGGTCGATCAGGGCGCCCTGCTTCGCGCCCATCTTGGCGCGCTCGCCCCCGTCGGCGCCGCATGCGACCATCGCGCCCCCGACCGTAGGCGCCCAGCGCCAGCTCGGACCCCTCGGCGACCTCGACCTGCCCAGAAACTCGCACCGTCTCCAGCAACGCCGCCCAGAGCTCCAGCGGTTGGGGTCCGCCCTCGCCGGCCACGCGCATAGGATGCCAGGCCTTCAAAAGCGGTTCGCCCTCGGCAAGCCGGCGCTCAGCCCGGGCCACGCGTGGGCCAAGCCGCGCACCGCGAAGTCCCCCTGCGCTCTGCGGGGGCCGCTCTCCCTGCCCTCCGCGAGCTCGCCCGGGCAGGGCCGAGCAGTCGACATCGTCGCGGTTCAGCGTCGGGAGGTCGCGCTGCAGGGCGCGCTGCAAGAAGCGCCGCGCGCTGGAACTGCAGCCGCCCAACGCCGTCTCGGCCGCGACGGAGGAGGGCAGCAAAGACAGGCCCCCCTCGCACATGGGCGCCCATGCCCACCGAATGGCTGCGCCCCGCCTCGTTCTGGCGATGGGTCGCCCCCGTCTCCTTGTCCCGAGCGCGGCGCCGCGGCCTCTCTCCTCGGGGGCCGCCGTCGCGGGGGGCGCCGGGCAGCTCGCCTGCATCCAGCGGAGGCGTCGGCCCAGTCTCGAGCCCCCCCCAGCTTCGGCGAATCACGCGGCGACGTTGACCCTCGGAGCCGGGCGCCGTCTGCCCCCTGCAACGACGGTGGCCAGCGCCTAGACACTCCCAGGGGACCTGACCAAGCGTTGAACTCATAACATGGCGACGCTGCCCCTCGAAGCCGGGCGCCGTCTGCCCTCCATCGAGGGCGGCTGGCGTCTAGACTCTAGACACGCCGAAAGGCTCGGGCCCCCCACCCGGCAAAAACGAGGCAACGCTGAGCCTGGGTGGCCTCCGAGGGCCCCACCCCAGGACTTGAGCGCGTCGGCCCGTGAAGTCCTCAACCAGCCAGCTGCCGCGAAGGATGGAGGTAGCGTGCCAGCAGGCGCCCGATCTCGGCGCTTCCGCTCCAGCGCGTCCACGATCGTCTCCTGGATAGCGCGCTCGGTCAGCTCCGCCCCCCGTCTCTCGCAGTTGGTCAGCATGGCCCCCGCGTGACACTCCGCCAGCATGCTGTAGAATTCCGGGGGATAGCACTGCGCCACTCGACTCCGGACCCTCCCTGAGTCGCCCCACGTAGGCTCACCAGGTGCGTCTCGTGGATGCACAGCTGCACGAAGCACCCCATCTGCTTGGCGGTGCCTGGCAGGGTCGTCATCTTCAGCGCTGGGCATCCCCACATGCACTGCAGGAACGTCACCGGGCACGCACCTAGCTCCTTCTCCCAACTCAGCAGATCCTCGGCGATGAAGAGGGGGAAGGAGGCACTCCGGGATCGTCTGGGCGTTCGAGCGAGACCGAGCCACACTTCCGCCCGATGGCCCGCAGGATCCTCAGACTGCTCAGCAACCGCGCAGTCCCCAGATCCACGCTTCGTAAATCCTGCCCTCGTAGCCCAGGTCGCCCGCAGGGATGGCTTCGCAACCGTGGTTGAGGGGGCCCTCCTGGTTGGACACGCACGCGAGACCGCGTAGCGCACGATAGTCCAGCGTGTCCTCCATCCGCAGCAGCCTCCGAGAACATCTCCCACTTCCTCGCGTTCACCTCGTCGGCGAGGTCGATCTCGGCTTCGAACCCCGCGCCCACGTTCGCGCGCATCAGGAGGTAACCTCGCAGGGCCGCCAAACGTAGCAGCCAGCATTCCAGGCCCCCTTTCCTCGCGCGCCCACTGCAGAGGTGGGTGAAACGCAGGGCTCGCGCCGAGATCACCGGGCGGCAACGCATCGGCTCGAACGGGCCCTCCTCGGCGATCTCGACCAACTCCTCCACGGCCTCCGCCGCCGAAGGAGGCAGCGCCACCTCCGTCTCGCTCCTGCGCTCTGGGGCCTGCCCGATCGGGCATCCTCGGCTGGGTCCGTCGCTGCGGTTCCGCTCCGATGGGGCCCGCCTCCAGCGCTCCCTCAACCCGCGCCCCAGGTCCAGCGAAGCCATCCGCCTGCGCATGATCAGGATCGGCGCGCTGGCGGACCTCCCCTTTGGAGCACCCCCCCAAGGCAGACCATGGAGTCGGTGATCGCCAGGTGTCGTCGGCCCCAGCTCGCTCGCGATCTCCGCGCGCAGGCCAGCCCAGCCCCCATCTCCAGGACGTCGATGCGCTCGGGCCCAAGAGCTCCCTCCACCTCGACAGGTCGCCCCAGCAGCTGTGCACCGGCGGCGCCCGAATGCGGGCCCCCAGCTCGACGCCCGCCATCGCGCGCAGGTATCGAGCGCAGGTACCTCCTCGGACCACTGCTCGGCCGCCCAAGATGAGGAGATGCCCGCCCAGACAGTCCAACCTCCTCGCACGGCGAATCGGGCCTCTCGGCGCTGCTCTCCAGGGTGCTCTCCGCGCCGACGATGGCTACTCTGCGCAGGCTGGCATCGACCATCGCCGCCGGGGGATCCCAGGGCATGGCCGGGTCCACCGAGATCAGCGGCGCGTTCGCGGCAGCCACCGCCAGCCCCCTGAGCGCCTCCCTCGGAACCGGCCGACGCGGCCCACCTCGAGCCTCCGAGCACCACTGGTGCGCCTCCGCGAACGCGCTCAGCGCACCCGGGCGCAATAAGAAGCCCCGGGATAATATGCCCAAGGCGCGCGCCACCGCCCCTGGGCAATCCACCTGCTTGTCCAACATCTCCTCGGCCCCAGCGACCACCGCCCACGTCTTGTCCTGGTTCGGCGCCAGGCGCATCCCCAGGAAGCCCCCGCCGATCATCCTCGCTTCCTCGGAGCAGTCGCCCTCGCGCACTTGGGCGCCCGCCGACCTTGCGCTCGAGGAGGCGCCCGGTCGCTGCCCGAGGCCGCGAAGACCGCCCCGATGACCCCGAAGTCGTCGACGCGCCCGCAGTGGACGGCGGGCGCCTCGCGAGAGATCTGGGGGAGATGGCCGCCCTCCGCCGGCCGCTGCTCCTCCGAGAAACAGCCGAGCCCCAACTGAGGACCTCCATTGAACAAGTCCCCCGCCGTGGCCTGGGCCATCCAGCGCGCCCGCGACAAGCCC